GACACTGCTTCTAGTTTTGGATCTTAAAATTTGAAACATTGTACGTGGGAAAAGAGCAGACTATTAATGGAATTATTTTGCACTGAAATTGACTAACTCGAAGAGTTAAAGCAACTGATAAATAAAGTAAAAAAATAACCTCTGCAATTTGATCATGCTGTTCATAATATTTAGCAAATTCCACCCAAATTGTGTAGAGTTTGCCTGTTGCTAAGACTGGATCCACTGTCTGTACTGCCTCGGTGTAAGTTCCAATGATATCTTTGGGTTTTCCTTCAAAAAGTTTTACTCTTTTATGCCATTCATGGACATTATGTGGATTTTGCCGGAGGAGCACGCTGTTCAGTAGTAATGGCCGCCGATCCATCAAATTCTCAAACCTTTCTAACCTTAGTTCCAAATCAATGTCATCTGAAAAATTCAACAAATAAAACAAATAGTTGTATCAATTTGTTCTTGTAATATTGTATTTTGAAATTTATTATTTTTAACCAAATTGTTGAAAATATAGAATATGATTTTTTTCTAAAAACAAAACAAAATGACATGTTGATATTATGCCTGTCAACCAACAATACAGTGTGACCTGCTTTAATTTCACAAGACAAATTTTTGTGAATTTCATGAGCTACTGAAATATTGCTGAATTTTGTAGAAGTGATTTTCACAAATTTTGTTTTCATGTTAATGCTAAAAATCCTGAAATCACTCTTTTAGCAGTTAAAAATAAAATTGTTACAAGAATTCTATCTGAGATCTTTATTATTAAACATAATTTCTAACTAGAGTAGTTCAAAGCAGCCTGTAAAATAAAACAAAAGGCAGCATGTTACTTATTGACCTGTTAATAAAACACGTCAGGCTATCTATCCCACACAACCCCCACATGCCCACCCCACATCTAAATGGTATAGTCCGGCATATAGCTTCGTGGCAAATAAATTGGCCATATCCAATATTATGAACAAAATTCCTGAAAAAAAAATGTTGTCTGACAAAACTTTATGATAAATTCTTTAGGTTTGCTCAATAATGTCATGTTATACAGATGCATCAAGGGAAATTTATACAAATCACTTCCATATATGGCATACCTTCTTCACTCGGTGCCATTTCTGTTGTCATTTCCATTTTTGCTCCTATCATACTCTCTTCAAACTGAGCATATGCGTCAAATACTTGTGTGAAATCTCTGACAGTAGTAACGGTCTGAATGGATTCTTCGTAGATATCACGTGCCTGTTGAAAGATTTATTCATAAAATATGTTCTTTGAAAATAAACATTTCTTATTTTGTAACTGGGGTTTTCAGTTACTCAAAAAGATCTGATGACTCTGGGAAACAATGACACACATAATCAATAGAAAACACCAAACCTTCTCAAAGTGTCCGCTTCTGATATGATAGTCGGCAAGAGAACACCAAAGCTGACCACGTTCGTCGGTGAATCTCTTGATACCGCTTCGTATGATAGGGTCCACTTTGAGCGAGGTTACTTTCTTCGGGTTTTTACAGATCAAATCACACAGATCATGCCATAGCTGTATAACAAATTAAATAAAACATAAAATTCTGATGTCATTCATATGAAATGTTTAAAAATCATAGCCATGGGAACATTATTTGAAATTGCTTAAAAATATGAACATGTTAGACAAGGTGATACAATTAATGCTTGTTGCCATGGATACAAAATAAGTTGAGTTATAAATCTATAGGTTATAGGTGTAGGTCAAATTTTATTAATTTCACTAAATAAAAATTACAATTATTTTGATCATCATTTTCTACCAACGAAAAATCATATTCATATGGTTCAATATTAACAAAGAAATCAAAGAGAGACACATAAAAAAAGAAAATATGTTGAAATTAAATTTTAACAGGTCAATTATGAGGCTTGAAAGTTCACCTTCAACCCTTTCACTGCCATTGTAACCTTCCACAGAATAGTCCTGTGCATCAACTCTTGTTTCTATACAACATAATTTACGGAAACAATTCTGAAGATTTATTTTGTCAATGTTGACTTTAGAGTTTAAAAGGTTAAAGGGAAAGCCAAGAATCACCATGACAACAGTAAATAAATTATCCGTCACTTTTGACCAAAAGATTTATGTTCAATAAAAAAAAATTTGGTTGATAAATGTGATATATAGTAGAAAATATTTGGTAATCATTGTCCTTGGGTAACTATTCAAAATAACAAGACATTTTATCCATAGTTTGAGCTACTTTGAAAAGTTACTTTGGACAACAATTACAAAATTTTATCTGCAGTCAATAAAGACACCTCCTCTCACCAAATGATTAGATTTCCCCTCTTTTGAGACAAAGTCTTCGTCATTAACTACATCATACAAAAGAACAGCTGATCCGTCTAATCTCTCAATTGACTTGAGATACTCTATAAACTCTTCTACATTCTCTGGCAGTAGCTATGGTAACAAGATAGGGAACATCATTAGTACAAGTGATGATAACAGCCAATGACTGGTAGTTTCCCAGCTCAAAGCCTAGCAAGAGTGAAACAAGCAAAGAGCGGGTGGGTAAGGGTTGAGCATTTTTTATAGCAATTAGAAGTTTAGGCTAATAAAATCACCTGGCCAAAAACACTACTGAACACATTGATTTATAGATGAACAAATTATGTTATGACATCACTGGGATTTGTTTTCATGAGGAGGATATGCAAATCAAGGAATTATAAAATATTAAATGTATGCAACTTTCATAACTAAGTTATGTGATATCTCATGAGAAGTCAACTCATGTACTTTGTGAGCATTCAAAAGGGATATTATGATGACAAATATTAGTCATATCTTATGTAAAAATGGTGCCATGGATTATAGAATACATTATGTACATTATTTCCTGTATTTACTTTAAGTTTCAAAGTTTAATTTTTTATACTTCCTTTAAGTTATAAATTGTCTGTTTCTTTTTCATTTATATAGTACCGGTATGTGCTTTTTCCAATAATTTTATTGCAGCTTCTAATTACTTATTAGTGAGCCCCTGATGTAAAAGGGTAGCAACAAATAAATAAATAAAAAAGTAATCTCATTTCATGCACCTCAATCAAACATTTCTATTTAATAAGCATTACAGAACACAGTGGGCGCTTGGAAAGGTTTAATTGTGTAAACAAAGGGAAGAAAGAGATTATTTCTGTTTTCAAATGTGCCACATGCACATATTAATGAATAATCAAGGATACTATCAAACAAGCAGCCTCTTGGCTGAGATAGCTCCACTGTTAGCAATGTACATTTTAAATAATTTTCAATTAGAAAATGAACAAATCTACCTGAGGTCCCTATATGTATAGTATCAAAGCAATTGGACTTGCTGTTTTATACAAGAAGTCAAAAATATCACTTTTCACCAAAAATGATAAAAATATTCATTAAAATTAGAGAATTGAAGATATCATATCGAAATGAACAAATCTAAGGGAGGTCTACCCAATGTACATATACACCAAGTATCAAAGCATTCAGGCTTGTAGTTTACAAGCAGAAGTTGAAAAAGTAAAATGTTGACACAAACGGAGGACGGTGTACGCCGACTGACAATCACTCATATGATAAGCTCCGCTCGACTAAGTCGACAGCGGAGCTGAGAATGATCTGAGATGAACACTGATCAGTTCTTTCACAGACACACTAATTTGCACCAGGATTTCTAGAATTTTAGGTTTGTCTATCAAGTTTCTGATCATTTTGCGTGATTCATATGATTTGGTAAGTGTAAAATTAAATGAAAGTCATGACAACATTGATAAGACAAACGTACATGTACAGTGAACATACACACAGATGTACTAACTGTTATGACTCACATTGTGTGCTGTGATAGGGATGTAAGAATCAATCTTACCATTCAAAATAGGGATAGAAGGTTTGATCATAGCATTAAAATAGGGGTGGATATTGTTATCATAACATTCAAATAAGGGTGACAATAATTAACATACCATTTAAAATAGGGGTCAAAGTAGTATCTTGCCATTTAAAATAGGGGTGGAAAGAGTGATCATCAAGAGAGAGGTATTATGGTCAATCCACTTACCTTCATGTACCTTCTATAGACTCTAACAGCAGTTTCCGGCAGCGGATGAGTACGCACAAATTTTAAATAAAGTGGCCACACTCTGTGGTGTTGGGTGATTGGCAGGGCTCTTAGCGCTCTGTCAAACGTACGTCTTGTTCTTGTCACTTTGCATTGATCCATTAGAAACTGACAATAGTCCAACCAAATACGCGGCATCTATAATAAACACGCAATAATACAGTAACTATCAGACTGCACTTTGTCTATTAACCTTTTCACCATCAGATCCCTTTTCCTCACAAACTCATAAAATAGTCCCGTTTATAGTTTGACCGTTTATAAAATTGACTGTTCTGCTCCAAAATTGGCATTAATTTCTTGAAATATTTAGAAATATAAGAAAAAGGTGCAAGAAAGGGGCGAGAAAGTCTGGTGGTGAAATGGTTAACATTATGTTTTGTATAAACCTTGGTCTCGACGTCATCACATCTGTTATCTTATCAAAAGACGGGATCCAATTATAATGCCACTTGCAGACATGTTCATTTTATCTTTGTATCTTCGAACAATTTTAAACATTATTTTATTCTCTGTTTTTCTAACAATTTGTATACACCATTGCAGCACCATCCATTGAGAAGATGTGTGGAAATTAAGTCTATTCAGCAATCTTACTGTAAACACATTAATTATTCAGTTTTTCTCTCTCGCTATTTTCACTGATAAGTAAAATTCATTAAATTAATTAAATCCATGTGAAATAACAATAGAACTCAATGTTACATGTATCCAGTTTTTGAACTCAGTGAAACTGCTCAAATCATCAAAATGGTGAAATTAAATGCCAGTAAAAATGAATGATTTTACAGTATCATTTATGTATAAAAGTAATTTCTCCTCTTCAAAAATTACGTTTCTGGTCACTGCACTACAAACAGTTAAAAACGTGCATGTCGCACCTTATATTTAGTGTTTTTTTTGACAGGCACTCACACCCGTTTTTTTTAGGTTTTTAGTTTTAGTTTTTTTATAAAGAAAAAATCAATTTTCATTGAAAATCATAAAGTTAATGAAAATTTCAGAATAAATATGAAAGGCACTCAGGCACATTGATTTCAGATTGACCTCAAATTTTTTTTTTAGCTGAAGCCATTTTTTTTTCTAAAAGTACCGGTATTTCCCAATTTTAAAGTGAACAAACAGAATACAATCTTGATTAAACGAGTTAAAGCACCTACTCAATACAAGTATATTTGCAATGCATGGTGGGAAGTACATATCAATTCTCATTGAATACATGTATAATGGAAACAATATTCGACATTGCAAAGTCACTGACCTAAATTTCTGGAAATTTGTAATATATTCACTAAAATAAATATTTTTTTTATTCATGACTTAAAACAGATTTTCTAGATACGAGAAACACCATAGAAACTAATGGCAAATTAGATAAAATGAAAATTTTGCCAATTTTCAATAAAATTAAGTCTTTTGATTGTCAAAAATTAGTTTAATGACACCATATTTATTTGTTTACTCTCTATTTCTTTGATGGCATGAACCTACACACAATATATAAATAAAAGAATGAACATTCAGTTTACAATTGACCGTTTCTCAAGTTCCCTCAAACATCATTCACACGTATCTAACTGTTCGGAGTGTGCGTACAGTGAGTCAAAAATCAATATGGCGGATACATTGTGGTATGTTAATTAACTGAATCAAAACTCCATCAATTGAACTCTTTCATTTGACAAATTTTGCACCAAAATATGTATTAAATTAAATGTCACCGTGCCAGCACTTATGAACACATTATTTGAAAAATTGAAAATATCACAACATATGGAGCAATTATGATTTCCCATTTCTAGTCATTGATATTCCAGTGAAAGTGAAAATTACAAATGTTGTCGCTCTTCAAGGATCAATTTTACAAGCATGCCAGAGTCGCCATGTTTTGATTATTTGGTGGAAATATACCGGTAGTAAACTAACCGCCTATAGATTAATTAAAACGATACTTGTTTATCTATCTATTTGACTTTGAGTAGGTACAAGAGTTTACATGGCATAACAAGAATTAGCTGTGTAATACTATAAAACATTAATGCCTATTTCTGATAAAAATACAAAAAACAAGATTTAAGTACTGTT